ATTGACGACGACTTAATGCAATTTTTGTACTTTGTAGACAACCGACTCTTTGGTATGAATAGCCTCCTCCTTGGCGGCGTCATCGCATTGTACAAGTTGTTTGCCTAGTATGGGCATATAGTTCAATAAACCGTCTTAATGAATTGCCAAAATAAAAGAAACCATTTTTCCAAACAGATGTTGTTTTCCCTGATTATTTCGGGTCTATTTCAAAGGCGTGAATATTCTCCAAAACAATATTTGAAAGTTTGAAATTTTAAGCTAGTTTTGTGGTAATCTGTGACAACTTGAGCCACATAGTTAAAGTAAAACCTTGTGAATAGTTATTGTCAGCATCCGTAATTCTAATCCTAATAATCATTTTGTGCACGAAATTACAGTTTACGTAGGTAAATTTTATTAGATTCAGACCATGATCATCCACAACAAGCCACTATAAATGTCCAAATTTGGTCCATCTTTAATAAATTTGAACCTGTGTAAATATTTTGGGCAAAAAGGAGTTGATCAGGATATTATAAAGTGCTCTTAATACTTTCTCATGGTAGTTCACCTGCATGCTCATGACTAACAGCTAAATGCACGAGAATAGCAGAACACTCATTAGACCCTGTACATACCAAACTACGAGACAGTCTTCTTGTACAAATCTTCCAGCTTCCTATCAGTCAACGAGATAACTACCTCGATTACATCGTTTATCTACAGTAACGACCCCCTTGAATTGGTATCGGCTACACAGAGTAGAACACAGATTTACATTTAGCAGACTTTGATTGTCCTTATTTAGGTTCTTAAAATTAACCCAAAATATGTAACAAAAGCCACTTTTGTTTGAAACAGAACAAGTTTTATATTTTGCTAATTAATTAAGACGGTTTATTGAACTATATGCCCATACTAGGCAAACAACTTGTACAATGCGATGACGCCGCCAAAGAGGAGGCTATTCATACCAAAGAGTCGGTTGTCTACAAAGTACAAAAATTGCATTAAGTCGTCGTCAATTTTGATGGCAATTTAAGAGGTGCGTTCACTCCGTTTACCTGCGAAAATAGAGCTGCCAGCCGATCCTTTAGCATCACCCTCCGCTGGCGCGTCCTGGCACAAAGCAACCTGGATGCAGATAGCGATAATGAAGAGCGTCCTCAACGAGATCATGACTGCTACGTCGATGCGAGCTAACTGAATTGTCTAATTACTGGCAGTACAGGCGTGGATTTGAAAAAAAAATCGATTGCCTTCAAGCGCGTGCGCCAGCTGACTAATCAGCCGAATGCATGTTTGGTGAACGATTTTGAGGCAGCTCAATTAATCAAAGCACTTATGGTGGATTTCGCCGCCTCCTTTAAACGCGACCATGCAAACGAAACTCTAGACCAAAGTAGTAACTAGGCCATAGCCGGAGTGTGCCAGGAGATAAGCTCTGCAGCTTACAACTAGGTTTTAAAAGCGTAAACGCTACAAATTGAAAAAACCCAGGCACTTGATTAATTTATAGTGGCTTTTATTTATGAATCATGTGTGGATATTTTTGAGGCAATGTCTTAGATGCATGTGGGGTTCAAATTGACCTCAGTCACGCTAACAAAACATACGTGATCTTCGTTTAAGTCAGAGTTCGACATCATGCGCATATGTGTGGGGGATTCATTAGTACCATTTGCCAAAATCTGTATTTATTGAATTAATTTAAGTAAATCTTGTAAAAGTGGCCATAAAAATTTGTTAAATTTTTCATTTATTGATTTTTTTGTTTTTCATAAAACCATTGTCGCGATCTTAAAATTTGCACATTACTTGACTATCGCATAAATTACTTACTTATGCATTCAAAGGTCCAATAAGGCAAGTAAAATGACATTCTTGTTGTGCGACCCGGATAAATCAAGCAACTTTTGAAGCGTCATTGAATGTTAAATTCCTGAGATCATCAAATTTAATGAACCCTTGGAACCTTTGAAATGGCCTGCTATCACCACCCTACAACCCTCGAGTTAACATTCCTCAAAAGCTCGAAGACGAATAAAACAGGTGATGGCGGACACGACAGTTTATTAACGTCACGCAAGCCAACAGTTTCGGCTGCATCGTCTTTAAATAGAACTTCTATTGGCCAACCGGTAAAACGGTCCATTCAGGTTTTAACATAAGCAAAACCATGAGACTGTGGAAGTTTTCTTACCAATTCTGTGTGTACGCATCATAAACTTGCGTCTGGAAGGGGAAAATGTCCAGATTATTAAATATGTGCTCTGGAAAACGCGTCGGCAATAGCGTTTTTAGTACCATCATTGTTAAATATGGCCAAGATTCATGGGTTCGCGAGGGGAATATCGATCAGATACTGCATGAATAGCATAAATCAATGTCTGATAACCGGTAAAAATGGTAAACTCACATCCTTCCAGCAGGTAGCGAAAGTGTTTTACGGCAAGATATATCACTAATATTTTTCTGGAATATGTGCTGTATCAGATCTGAGCCGGTTGAAACTTTTGCGTTGAGAACATTAATGCCGCAGTACGACCTTCTACTTTTTGCTGAAGAACTGCGCCGATAGCAGTTTGGAAAGCATCCGTTTGTGAGACAATGTTTAGTTCTTTCTTCCAGCAGTACAAATTTGTGGCGTCTTCTATAGTGCCCTTAAAAACTCAAAAGGCATCTTAAGTCTATAGTGACTATGGTCTAAGCACAACCTTACAACCCTCTGGTTAACAACCCGAGAATGGAGTGGAGAGAGGCGACAGAGGACATGACTTTTTATTAGCGTCATGCCAGTCAAGTGGCTGTCTTAGTGAGTGGATGAGTGAACGGATGACAGGCGTCTGATAACAGTAACCAATGAAAAGGGTCTGAGTCATTTTCACCGTCAGGTCGGTAACTAGGGTTCACTCAGGCGCGATCGCTGTTAATCCGCTACAAGGATCCAGTGGAAGTTGCGACGATCAGCAAGCAAACATTATTGAGCACGGATTCAATCGATTATCCCCCGCAAGCCCCATGGGTAAGTGTTAGCTTCTTGGCAATCCTCTTGAAGCAAGTCAATGAGTGGAGCGACACTTTTAGCGGCCTGTGGAGAAAAAAGAATATAGTACTTAAATAAATCACGAAAACAACGTTAGCTATTTATTGATTCTGTCATTGGATACTTCTGGATCGCTGTTGTCTTCTCAATCGGGTCTAATATCGTCTACATCAGCGTGACGCCCTAGAACTCAGCACTGTCTACTCCAAATGCACATATTTTAGAGTTGATTGTGGTTGCCTAATCTTTAGTACGGTTAAATACTTCTCGCAGGTGCAACAAATGTTCGTCAATGTCTTTGCTGGAGCTGAAAATGTCATCAATTTGGACAAAGACGAAGTCATAATCAGACTTGGTCAGTGAACCTCTAAAAATCTGTGTTGTGTTTCGTTGACCAAAAGGCATTATTAGCAACATATATAGGCCAAATAGAGTAATAACGGCAGTTCTAGAGATGTCTTTAGGGATAAAAGGTAGCTGATGATAGGTAAGGACAAAGTAAGGCCCTAAAAAGTTTTTATTATAATGTGGGCCTAAAGAAAAATTGTGGATATGAGGAATGGAGTACCGGTTAGGGACTGTGACATTTTTCTTGTATCAGGACTTCCATTCTCTAGGATTCGTATGCACCATGCGTAAAGGGGTTGCCCGGGGACTGCTTTTGCACTGGCGGGCCATTAGTCCCGATATGCTCTATGACTTGGTCAGTATTCATAATCTATTATCTTCGGGTAATGCCAAATTGTATCAAATCGAATTTACCGAAGCAGGATCTACTCGAAGAAATAAAGTGAAATTTGATTCATTGTGTCACATCAACTTGTGGATCAAACTTGGGAAACGTCTGAACCAATAAATGAGTGCTGAATATCAGCCACATAGCGTAAAGGGATATCACCATCTTAGGCCTAGAACTAAAGTAGGCGAATTTAGGCCATACTTTGTGAAGGGCAAGTTACTGTTGGCTTAGAGCTGCAGACCAGGAGTTTTTAGGTAACATTTATTACGCTAATGCTTGCACCAAAGTCACTGAAAAATTCTAAATTACTTGCTGTGTCAGGGATGTGAAATAGGTGACTAGATTGAGTGCCCGAAGCCAGTCTTTGCCCTTAGCGACCAGTCTTCTCGTTTTCAACGACGCTTGTGAGTTATAAAGAAATATTGGGTCAAGAATATTAGTGGATAAGTTGTGATGAAGGGACCATTGGGACAGTTAATAAACAATGTCCTACTCATGAGCTCCATGAGCCCTTCTCCCCCATGCATTAGTTGTACTAAACCTACATTTATGGAATCGGTGATGAGTTAACCCAGTGAATGGGACGATTATTCTTTGTCGAATGATATTCACATTCCAAAGCGACATTTGCTCATAGTTTTCTACAGCGATTTTTCTGTTCTTAAATATGCTAGTATCTCGCAAATGTCACCTTACAAAACATTCAGACTTTTAAGTCCTAAACTTAAACTCCTTGTCTCTAAACGAATATCAATAAATCAGGACTAATTTCCAACGACAAAAAATATTAGCGGTATAGGTGCAGTACAAAGGCGAATTTTTCACATCGAGGAAAGCACTGAGCAAAATCAGGTAAACTACATAGTCTTTGCTATTGTTGACTTGGGTGATTCCTTGTTAGGTCTTTTAAGGTAGTGTTAAAACACCTCGTAAAACGTAAGTTATAATTATAAAAATTTTGGTAGCTTTTCCTTAACCAAAGGAGAATATTTGAGAATAGCTTTTCAGTGATTCTGAGTGAACTGAATATAGTCGATTTCTTGAGTCATGGTGCTATTTAAGCGCATTTTAACTAAATAATATCAGGCCTGTACATTAAATGTAAAAAATGTCATAAGACATCTCCAAATGCATTTTAGACGTTTATTAAATAATTTTACGTTTGGTGTTGTTTAAGCCCTTTTACATTGATACCGCATAACTCAGCTTGGTCGTGTGCCGCCACAAAGCGGAATGCCTAAAGGACAAAAGCGCCGAAAACTTGATCTCCCTGATGTTAAAGGGTGGGTTCCCTATCAGCCTTTCTCAAAAAATAGTAAGTTTGTGTACCAGCCTAACATCGCTTAGAGGAAGAGATTTTCAAGGAGCTTGACGCAAAATCTGAGCGAGTTGATGTACCTGATGGATGGAAGGAACCTAAATTCAACCCAGAAGATAATCCACATAGACGCTTGTATTCACAGTCATCTTTTTCGACACTTTTTCCTCAGTATCGAGAAAAATACCTTCGCGAAGTGTGGCCTGCAGTCGTGAAAATTTTACGTGAACACGTAAGATAGCTTCATGTCAATCCCTAATTTCCTGTAAATTTCCTTTTTTTATTATTTTTTTTTGTTTTCTGTTATTTCAAGCATATTAAGGCTGAACTGGACCTTGGAGAAGCCACAATGGCTGTTCATACAACCACGAAAACTTTCGACCCCTTCATCATCTTCAAAGCGCGAGATATGATTCGTTTGTTAGCCCGCTCTGTTCCTCTCGATATTGCCGCTCGAGTCTTGGAGGACGACGTTTTTGCAGATATCATAGAAATCAAGCTCAAAAACCGTGAACGATTTGTGAAGCGACGGAATCGACTGATTGGGGACGAAGGTAACACGCTCAAAGCCATTGAACTCTCCACGAACTGTTATGTGATGGTTCAAGGCAAAACGGTTGCTGCCATCGGACCTTATGATGGACTTAAAAAGGTGTGACATTTTATACGTTTCATACCTTTTTAACTAAACAGTGTTATTCAATTAGTTGGTTTTACCATACTATAGTTTTCAGACTTCGGTGGTTGTGCTTAAGTCGTTGAATGCAAAATTGGCTTTTAGTACTCTATGTTTGGTTGTGCTCTTACTGATTCGTCTTGAAAATAATTTGGCTCCATTGACGTTTTAATGTAGTCCTTTTATGGCTAATCAGTCTATTTCTACATTTAGTTAACTAGTAATTTGTTATATTTATTAAAAGTACTTGATTAATCTTATTTTTCTTCCGAAAGATTCCGTTACATGGTCATAGGTTACGTTTATTCTTTTGACGGTTGCGTAAATCGTTAAAATGTAATCATGTTCGTTTTAAACTTCTAGCATTCTTATGTTTCTTCGTGTCGCCAGTTTTCAATCTGTTGTCGGATTTGCTTAGGAGTGTTTTGCAATATTTTGTTTTAGGTGCGCCAGGTTGTAAACGGCTGCATATATGACAATATCCACCCGGCCTACTACATAAAGCGATTTGTAATTATCCAAAAATTGATGTCAGATCCGAATAAAAAGAATCTTTCTTGGGAAAAATTCCTCCCACATATTAAGAAGAAGACACTCAGCAGGCGTCGGAAACCTCAAAATGTATGTTACTTTTTTTAAAGTGTAGTTTTTTGAACCGTTTTTTTCGTTCCGTCCACTAAGCCTTCCCCACCATCCAGTGTGTCAAAATTTTTCTGTTACTGTCCACCATGTAAACTGTCAAAATGCCAGTGCCTGCATTTAGAAAAAGAGGATGGTTTTAATTCTGTAAAACCAAAAACGTCATTTTTAAGTGAATGTTTTTTTTTAGAATTAGGATTTCGTTCAAGTTGTTTTGAATAACGTTGCTAACCATGTAGACATAAAACAATGCATGTTCGCTTTTACCGTATTTAAATAATAAAATTCGCTTGCGCCCTGTGGCGTTTTAAACTTGCGTTCCGAAAGTCCTGTCTTTTCCTCGATCTCATGGACACAATTTTTCGACCCTATACAAGTACGGTCTTGTAATTTTGCCTCATTTGTAAATATTTGCACCGACTGCTAACACAAATGTCTACCAATATCATTGGGATCGCAAATGCCTTACCTGCGTTATTGTGTGCGCAGGGAATTTAAGGCCCCTTTCCTGAAGTGACTTACAAAGTTTGGTGTGTGGTTACCACAAAACACAGATGGTGACAATTTGGCCAACTTCACGGAGTGTCAAAACCGATGTGCTTTCAACCCCTGTGCACAAGTTGTATTTCTCCTGTTCACCTTGTAGGTCAGGAAGAAGGGCGAGTACACGCCCTTTCCCCCGCCGCAGCAGCCTTCGAAGGTTGACATCGAGCTGGAGAAGGGCACGTACTTTTTGGCGCGCGCAGAACAACGCCAACTCAAGAGGCAGTCCAAGGTGGCCACCTCTGAAGCGGTCTCCAAAAAGCGCCAGCAGGAGAAACGAGCGGCTGCCTATGTACCGCCTGAGGAGAATTGACGAATGTACAGCTGATTTTAAGCATAAGAGTGCTGTCTTAACCAGTGGCGCCTTGGTTGATTTACGTGGTGGAATTGAAAAGGAGGATCTGTGGTGATAATGGTGCTTAATTGCGCTGCGTAAATGTTGTTCGAGCAGTGGGTTTGGCTTAGACATCCTCATTTCGCTTGGACGTACGTCTTGCATATGGTCCAGGAGGATGGAAAATTTAGAAACCATATGCGTGCGAATTTGCGCTGAAATATCGTTTAGTTCTGACAAGTTTTGGTGAAGTTATTACAGTTCTCTTGTCAGCAGGCTCACAACATTGCCCCCATATTGGTACTAGAGTTTGCTAAAGTGTGCTGATTCGTTGATTTTATACTAAGGTGGCCTTAGTTAGAAACCCATTGATCATTTCAGAGAATTGAGTTTGTTTATTATAACCTTGCCGCAGAATCCGGCTGATGGTAGGGAATCGGGGTCGTTAAATCGATCACGAAATCCACTCAATTCTTCTCACGGCATGTATTACTTAAGTCTGCTTCCGAATCGCAGAATCGGAATCCATTAATTGTACGTTTTGGCGCACTGTTTAAGGACGGACGTTGTTCGTGCACTTCGTTAGGTATTGACCGTGGCCAAGCTAAAGTTGTCGCTGCGTAAAAGTTACATCTTTGAAATCCGGTGCCGTTTTGCTAATTATGACAGTGTGTTTAGGACATGAATACTAAAAAGACCATCAATTTTATGTACGTAATTGAAAGCGAGTTCTAATTTCACACTCAAGGTCACCGAAAGCATCATTTCCCCTTGTGGACGAATCGAATTGCGTCATTCCCTGGGACTAGCAAGTATTGACGGTTGACTCTTAAAAATCATTGTAAGGAGCAAACAAGCCAAGCAAGTAAAAAGAAACATCCCAGGAGGAACCAAAGTTGTTCATGGACAGGTCTTGCTAAGATGAGGGTGGTTATAGTAATGCTAACTGAGCGATATATACGCCAGGTAACGGTCACTGAGAAAGGCCGGGCAGGAATTAGTTCCTCTCATTAATTGCAATGAGGCCAAAAAGCAGATGCCTTAACCGATGAGTTGTTGCTAATGTCGGGTAAGGCCTAAATTGAGTACCTGACAGACCACGAAAATGTTTCTAGGTTCTGAGGAAATTAACAAAAATGCCATTTTTCAATCAGGACTTTTCTGATTTTAGAGTTATCCCATGCTAGCGGAAACGTGGGGCGTGAAAACTTTAGTCGGAGTCAAAAAACATCAGGGATGATTGTTAAATGTAAAAGTGACCAAGCAGCAATAAAATCCGATATTTTTGTTGACATCAAAAGCACCCGTAAGCAATGGAGATAAATGGAACGAGACACGACTTGGTAAATACTATGGGCTATGTAAATAATAAACGTGATACTTTATTGTGAGCTCCTGCGTGATCATATTTATGGTGTGCATACGAAACGAGCTCAGTAGAATTAAGAGATTACTCGATTAGTACTGAATAACTTGGGTTAGGGTCAGGAACCTCAGGGTAAACCTCTCAATTTAACATATCCCAAGCGCGAATCAAAATTAAATATTTGGATTTTTCAACAAAAGAATTTACTGTGTTGATTAGTTAGTTAAGTTTGCTAAATAATAATATTCGTTTAAATTATGGCCTCCTGGAAGTTCAACTGCCTAAAAATTCATGTTTTAAAAATGTCGAAATTTCCTAGACTTGAATATACTATATTCCCAAAATCCAAATATGTTGCAAGGGATCTCATTTTTATAAAAAATAATTAAAAAAATTCTTAAGGATTCTTAAAGATATTTGTCAACCAATAAGACTTTTGCTTTATAACATTATGCAGAATATAAAATTTACTTTGCGGATGGCGCTGATTTGGAAAGACTCTTTTGTTGACGTGTACACTAACTTCATATCAATGCTTAAAATCCAGTTCGCAAAGGTTTATGCCTTATTACCACGATTTCTATTTGCAGCTACGACAACAAATAATTCGGTCATATCTAAAATCTGGTAAAGGTCTGGGGCAGACGACTAGGACGCCGCAGGATTTACACACTAACGCATTGAAAAAAAACACCGCTTTTAACTCATCTGTGGGAATTAATCATTAGTCACTTGGCAAAGTGGTCTCCTAGATAGATATTGCAATAGATTCACTAAAATATTGAGCAGCATGCTAGATTTTTAAGACCATACCAAAGGGATTCATTGTAGCTTCTCATTAAAATTTATTCATTATAGCATTTATTTGACTTATCTGATGTAGCCGAACATTTTGGGACCGATAACATCTCTGCATCAACTTAAATTAATCAAGAATTTAAAACATTTTATTAAATTTAGTTAGCGCAAGTGCAAATTAACGTGGAATTGTGCACATTAGAATAACTTCAGCTAGTAGTTCAAATTTAAAAATTAAATTGACTGACTTAATAAGCAGTTTTTTAAACATTTTGTAATAAACAAAACCAGATAATAATGCCTGTTTTGGCCTAATGCGCTAAAGTTTATATTTTTTTGTGACCTAATATTGTTTGTTATATTAAATCACTTTATTAAAGAGTCACCTGGTCATTCTGCGGCTTGCCTATTGGCGGGAGTAAAATGGACCAATAAATACTATGATCAGAATCTGGTCATTGTTTTTTTCCCTATTCATTCTTTATGGTCGTCTTTCAAAATCATAATTCTGAAAACAATGCATCCTGTTGCTGAATATTTTTTCGTTGCTGGTTTGAACCCAGAAATTCAGCTGCAGCCTCACTTTTCACGTAAGCTTATTTTGCCCCTTAATGTCATTCCCAATACGTAACCATATTTTCCTATATTTATATGGAGATTGACGACTATAAACTAAGATATCTTTTTAGTAGGTTATTGACTAGTGTTAATGGGTTTGATTTCTGTACTTGAGTTACCGTTTAGTAATTTTACTCACAGTTATTCTTCGATGTGCATCGCACGTACTGATCAATCAAATGGTTAACTCTTTGAAAACTGCCCCGTTCATATTGTTTACAGTGGATGATGTTTTAGTCAAAATAAGAATATGTACTCTACTGTGAATTGCGGTTTCCCATGTTTTTGTGGTTGTGGTCATGCGCTTATAAAAATGTTGATATGTATCATGTAGCAGGGTCTCTATTTAGCCAGCTTTTATAGCATACGGTAATTTCTTGCGTTCATGATACATTACAATAGTTTGTGCACTTTATTGCCTCTAAATTACAATATGATTTGCAAGTTTTTGTTTAGCCAATTTCTATTCTCCAAATAAAATGTTTTAGCGCGTAACTGAAATCTAACAGCCTGTTTTAATAATCGACCAATGTAAGATGTTTTTGCGTGATCTGTCCTTAGTCGTGAAACAGTCTGTTATTCCTTATGTACGGTGACTTGTGGAAACTTTCATTTTATGTTTTATTATGTGTCAAATACTTGTCAGCCTTGACCGATTTTTTCTTTACTGCCTCAATAGTACGCACTGAAGTTATAGCGCCTTAACTCCTTTTTCTCGATTTTCATCTCCGTCAAACAATTTATTAGTTGTGTGAATCATAAAATTTTTCCGTCTGTGGATGCCAGTTTGAATTGAAATGGGCATAAAATTCGAAACTTGTCTCTTTTTATTGCCTTGACCATGCTTAAGTAATGCCACAATTTATTATGATGCACTGTTTTGTATAGAAACAAGACAACCTTCTGACAGTCCCTCCCAAATAGTTCAGTCGGCCTACAAATGTCATATTCTTCAACACTTCCCGGAACATCGCCACAGTTTTCCGTTCTCCGAGGAATCAACCGCTCTAGCAAGTTTGATCTCTGTTATTTGCAAAAATATTCCTTTCACTTTACTCCTTGGTGGTAACCTTTATGAAGTGACTTCAAATTTCCACAAATGCTATGGATGCTAGAAACTGCTTGAAGTTATGGAAATTAAATATCACCCTAGCTCATCTTTAGGCATTAAACAATATGATAATGTACCTGATTATTGTACTCAAGGAAGATTTCATCCTTCGACTTAACAGCTGCTCTTGCGATTTCTGTCTGGAGTGATTCCCGTTTACCTATCCGTGAAAAACAATATAATCAGCCTAAAATGTGATGATTTAAATATAATTCAAAATCCGTCGAGTTTTGTGAATAAGGTGATACCAGTCATCGCATATATTGACCCCTATCCGGGTTTATAACTATGACAACAATGCCACATCAATAGCTGTGTGATGGCTTATTCTTTTGTCCTGATTGGTTATGAACACGTGGCCTATCAGTATGGCTGCTGTGGTTTATAGAACCAGGGCTTGTATTTGTGAGACTCAGCTTTGGCGATTTTGTAAATCAAGATACCGTTTCGGCTTCACCGACCCTAGTACTTATTTTTATACTTAAGACGTGTTAAAATATTAGGAATTTGAAGAGTCAATTTTTTATTGCTCTATCTACGTCTCTTTGTGCATTGAACAAGCTGGACCTAAGTTTTAGTGAAACTGAAATTCCTCACCACAATTACTGGCAAAAATGCTTACAAGGCATGATGCAGAATTCTTCACGATCACTTGAACGGCCCAAAACAACCACATGTTTCAGCTGTTTTTATTATGTGTACTACACATACTGAAGGGCTCTCACACGGAGACATCAGCGATGCAGAACAAACACGCTTTCGCACTATAGTTGTCACTTCCAAATTCACTTTTACCAACGATGTATTTCAGCCCATCTCGTCTGTTTCGTCCCCAGAACGCCTGAGGGAAGAAGCGGCCGTAAAGTGTCATTTATGACCCTTTTTGTAGCCAATTAAACCTTGTCTAGATCATGCAGCGAAAATAGTTTACAAACAATCTGATAATTCATAGTTTTCAGCAGCAAGGCCTGAAACTAAAAAGCACCACTTTGTCAATTTTGAAAATCACCAATTATACATTTTGGCCTCAACGACACTAACGTATATTTCAAGACAGTGGTTTTGTAGTCAGATGTTTCAAAAAGCGTAACTTTTTGAGTTAAGAGCTACCGCGTAGACGAAGCTTTTAGGAGAGCCCATTAGTTTCAACTCAATGTTGGCGACCAAGGGCGGGAAAAGCCTTATGCTTAATCGCCTAGAGCTAACCTCGCATAATTACTCGGGGATTCTGGTCAACATGGTCACCTATCTCACATGTCCTCCAACTAACTCAGACCCTGATTCGATTACCTCACGTGAGTTTCGCCTCGAACTATGGCTAGCGACTTCCCTTTAGACGAATACCTTGCACTGTCCACAGACCTCTACTGACTAGCTGTTGAAGAGGAATGCTTTTTTAAACTACCCATTCTCCGCATGAAGTCGTTTACCTTCATCAAACTCAGCTAACAGAATGTCTGTTATTCAATATGACCTCAGTTGCTCACGAGTTGTCTCGGCGAGCATTTCTAATTGGCTCAGTCGACTAACCGAGTGTCTCGAGTCTGATTGGGCAGCAATTGACCAATGGGATTTGAGAGTTGATTGAATCACATTTTGAAATCTATGGGTCTAGCGTTGGAGGCTCAGATGGATGATCTTGATTTTTTTTCTAGAAACACCTTTTTCTGTTGTATTTTGTTCAAATGCTCGAGATGAGGCGTGAAGTTTAATCATGGTTATCATAATGACCTGAGAAAAAAGCTAAAAATGCACCAAAATATGTGAAAAATTAATGATAGGACGTGGTTACAACGCAGTAGAAGGCACATTCTGGAAAGGGGACAGCCAGTATAATTTACACATTTGCTGAATTTTGCACACTGAGCACACGAGTAGCAGCAAATTGATTAAAAACCACAAAGTACGCGTAGATATTGAAGTTCATTTCATCTTAGAGTCGAGAGAAGGTAAGGTGGGTGTGCGGTGATTAGTTAATTCTCTTGGTGAGTAAACTTTTGCTGTACTCGCCTCTATGTATAGTTTCTCCTTATCTGACTCGATTTGTATTACATAACACAGGTTCGTACTACGTTTTTTTATTTAGTTTTGAATTAAAGTCATTATGCTGACGAAGCTGCTTTAGAAAAATCAGTTGAAATTGTGTCTATGACGCCAAGCTATTAAGGAAACAGTTTATGTGTACTTTTCTACAGTTTGCCGGCTGAGAGTATTGCGTCATTGTGTCCAAATTAACTCCAGATGCCACTAACATCACGTGAACTACGCTTAAGTGGTCACCTGCTCTCCATCTGCCTTAAAACAGCAGAACTGTTTAATTTGACAAATGGACAGCTGCAATGCGCATGGAACTTTTTTTTTAAATGCCGCAATTTTCCTTTTAATGCCCTGCCTTTTAAAAAGTACTTAAGGACGCGTGTTTTGCTCCGTGTATGTTGTTTTTGCGTTCCTGTACAGTCTAGGCTAAATTTATTGCGTACTTTAGGAAGACTTTTAATTGCCGCGTGACCAATCAGAGCTCCACGTGATCGCCCTTGTGATCATGACCAATCAGGGTAAAGACTACGCCGTCGTACAGCTATTGGTGCGAAGACTAGCTTCATGGTTGCCTTGGCTATTAATCATGATAGGCGACAATTTTTGTGTAACAATGTAACAGTAATTTGCTGTACTTGTCGTCGTTTTTCACATGACTTGCAGCACAGTATCACAGCGGTCTCGCTCCCCTTTACGTCCGCTTTTCGCATACAGTGGTTCTACTAAAAGCCTCCTTTTTTCATGTCTAGATGTCTTAGCAGGACAAATGCACATCACCTGGTTAAAGTGGAAGGTCATTCCTAGATAGCTATTTACCTTTTTCCAAAATGTGAATAAGACGCATGCTTAAATCATACATCTGAACACCGTTTGAGAAATCAAAAGCTAAACACTGGAAGACGTCTCCAAAGCCCAGTTATTTTAATACACTCCTTCAAGCAGTTCAGTTCACCTTCTAACAGTCTTTAGTGGGCAAAAGTAGGACTAATATTGAATTTATAACCCCTCACATGACTTGTTTGAGTAGAACCTTCAAAATACTGTTACAGCCTTTGTTTTGCTAGGTTGTCATGCCAAACGGCCTGCGTTTCTTCACCGACGCGCACCCCCTCATGCAGAAGGCTCGCGCGCCCTTTCGACACGCCTTCATCATCACCCGGGAGGATGGGCAGCGTGTGTTCGGCTACGCGATCCTCTTTCCCGAGGAGGTCACCCACCCGGGCGTCAAGGCGACCCTGAGGGAGCAGCAGCGATTGGTCGAGGCGGGGTCCACGGCTAATCGATTTTTCACCATGAAAGTGAGCTCCCTCTCCCTCTCTCTCTTCTTGGCAGATAGCGTATGGTTTGATTCATTTCCGGGTTCATCCAAAACTCTTTTCTGAATCTGTCGCTTTTAACAAATAGTAGTATGCCACCACATTAGTTCAGGTTGAAGTCAAAATGCGATCTTTTGGTTGTATATTACTGTAAAACGATTCAGTATATTATTTCCTGGTAACGCTGTATGGTATCCGTGTATGGGCTAGTAATGTGGGTATTTAGTTTTCAAAGGTCATATATTCTGAGATTACAAAACCCATTTTTTCTGTTGCAAATATTAACAAGAAGTGTATTTATTGGTAAATTTAGGAGGAATTTGTATAAGGCGCTATAAGATGGACCAAGGAAACTGGTGCAATTTGAGTAGATGTAACGGGTTTAAGTCTGTGCAGTTGGATTTTAATTTAAGCATTGAGAACAAGGTCTTGTGGTGCAAGAAGATTGAACATCACTTCGCCTCATAAACTCTAAGCTGATTGGTTGAAATGGTGGCACTCCACATGATCTCAACCCGACAGCGCCACTCGAGGAAGTCATGGATCAGTACTGGGAAGTTCGGCTCCATCCCTGACCGTCAATTCACTCCTTATCTTTTTCAGCCATCACTTGTTTGTCAGAGTTGCCAACTTGGTTGTTGATGCTTTCACCAAATTTCTCATCATCTGGGATCAAACGCAAATACCTCTTACACGAGGCAGCCACCAGCGTAAATAATCAGTGCTCACTGCAACTTTACTATTAGGCCGCATCAGAGGAATAAACGAATCGGAATGTTTTACTTTTGTGTGTGTTATCATAAACAAGTAATCAGAGTAGACGGTAAGTGTTAAACAGGAACCTTGTGCACAAAAATATAGATGCCCACCGCGTTTGTCTACTTCAAGTAGCGTTCCGTAGGAGTTCTGCTCGTCCAGTAAGCAAATTGTATGCGGCGCCCAGTAATAATGCGAACTAAAACAACGCTTACATCAAAGCTAACATCCGTTGTCGTAATTCCTTCATACCAGTCCGAAATTCAGTGAAAAAAATAGCCGCCATCTTAACCGTGGAAACTGGAATTGAGCAAAATAAATTCATGAAACTGAAGTAGTGCAAACTGCCAAATTTTCTGCAAAATAGTACAAACCCAAGACAACTCTTGCAGAAGTGGCATCATCATGGTTTTATTTGAATTCCCCTCCTAATTTCGGCCATTATGGCGCGCCTCAGTTTCGCATCGCCACCAATTGGCTTACATTATAACAAACCTCAGTGATGCTTGCACCTAAAAGTAATATGTTAAGTCCAGTAGCCGATTCAGAAGTCGTCCGTCCACCCACCTTTGTACTTTTTTGTGCGTGATGTACATTTGCGTACAATAATTTCAAATTAGCCCCCACTGAGCCCACACAGTGAGGGCTTCGAGTGGGCAATTTAACGCGAGGGGATGCGCCAACAACATACAGTTGTGGCGCGTGCACTTTTGCCTTATCACTCACCAATCGGAAAGCGCGCGTAGCAGGGAATTGTTATGGCCAGTTTGTCGGTTTCATAGGCCCACGTCTGCGTTTTGTTGACTACAGAAACTCCACACGCACTAGGGATGCTTTTTCCCCCATTTTACTGTGCACAATACATCACATTGGCAAAAAAATAATCTTTTTGCTCAATATCTAATGCTTATTCATTTGCATAAGCATTGTGTTTATGATATCTGAATTCCGGTCACACACACACGAACACATTACATATGCCGCTTCGTGGTTTCGTAGGCCCTTCATCAAATTACCTCACGGACGTGACGTTTTCAAGGATGGTGGTTACATGTAAACGAGTGTGAAAACGTTTTCGAAGCATTTAAAAAAGGCCTGTCCCAAAGTGGTAGCATTCCTTTTCGGAAAAAAAATTGGTAACTTTTAGGGGAATTCGCGGCTTTGCTTCTTTAGAAACGCTTTGGCAAATTAACCTGGTTAGTTAAAGCTACTATGGGCTTTCCACTTCCTCAGTTACCTGCAAGATCAGCTGACATCATGCCCAAAAAACCAATTTGGCACCGTGTAGAAAGTGGCCGCGTTGCTGAATCGCCCCTACTGGGGCTAGCTTCTTGTGAAGCTCTGATTGGTCGTTTGGATGTATCCACTGCGCCGTTCATTGGTTAGACGAAACGAATAGGCGAGAGTGATCAAATGTGCATTAAAACTGAAATTCGTTTGCTGTCAATTTGTTTTGGACCAGATGGCTTCTTAGTTTTGAAAGAAACACGCGATGTGATTTATAGATTAGGCCACAGGGCTATTTTAATGGCTACTTAGCACTGGCGGTGTCTACTTGTCTGATTTGTTTCTCAGTGAAAACAAATTAAATCTTTGAAAGTCTTAGAGTTTGCGAATTTTTAATACTAGCACTGCCAGCGAACTGATTCCTCTTGCAGGCAATAGGCATCCTCTCGCGTTGGGCTTTCACAAGCGGATTTTTCGGTTGGTTAGAGGACTTGTGGTCCGGGACGTACAACCACGGCGAACTCGCCTTGGAGTCGTACGTTTACAATCTCCTCTTCGAAAGCCGCCTCTGCGATCCGGGCAAGTGCTCCGTCGTCTGCGGACCCAGCACCCAGCACTACTTCTTTCGACCAGGTTCGTCAATTTATCCGCAGCCTCATTTATTACCCATCACGTCTGATCTGCTAGTGATCGGGCCTCGGACATTTCGGTTTTCACCAAAATTACAAATGTGCCACTGACTAGATTCCGAGCAGTCGTGTTCAGAGGTGAGACATCAAGAAGTATTGTTTACTGACGTTGGGAGCGTAATTTCGGTCGTCATTCTGTGTGTAGAATGTCGGATTTTTTTACCTTCCAACGCTCACAGAACCCTGAGCTATTTTCGACTTCTGGTTGTCAATAGTTTTGCAGAATTCGACGTAAATGACGATCTGATAATTCAGGGTTACAATTTATGACAGATACACAATATAACTCCGTCAACAAGCTCATTGAGTTTCTGCATGTGCTTTCGGTTTGTCGTTCCGATACTTTCACTAGTGGTGGAAAGTGAGCACCTGAATTGACTGTTTTGTAAGGAGAAGGCAGTTCAAAACACACCGCTTAAATATACGATTCAGTTTGTTTATGCCTATGGCCGCTTTCATTTAAAGGTGACAGCCCATCTGTGATGACGTGTTTCAGAAAGGGGTCAATTTTGCCGTGTTTATGACACGAAAACAAGTCATTTTAAGCGCAATTTAAACACTATGCGTGATGCAACATTCGTCAACTTCCTTGCAATCTCTGGAGCGATCACACGACTACGATCCGATTGAAATATTGCTTCGGATTGGTCACTAGCAAGTCGACCAGAATGACCCAGGTCGTGTTTGGGCGATCAATCGCCAGAGCAGAATCCATCCTGCCAATTTGGACTCATGCATTCAGCTAAGCCATCTCTACCACCTAATTCCTTTTGATCCCCAGCAACTTTCGTGCCTTTGATGGAACGGAAATAGCTAAAAACCGTCGAAAGTGTCAATTTAAAACCCCAAGCTTCAGTAAAATCGACCTGGGAATCGCTTGCACGTTTTTGGTGCTAACCAATCTACTTTGTTGTCCGTCGACAGTGAAGCATGTCGTTCAAGATATGTTTGATCTTGCCGTCGGAACAAACTGCCACGACCTCTCAGTCATCCTCAACAACAGCGTCTTCGGTGTAAACAACGCATTTGTGTAACAATGCCCTGTAGCAGGTAACAATTTAATCAAAAACAACAATGGCATTTCGGAGCGCAATTAAAGGGGTACCGGTGTTATCTTGAACACGAAACAATAATTAACTGAACGCGTAAGTAAAAAGTGCGTTTTGAGTACGACCTTATTCATGACAGGCTTGGCATGACGACTTACACTGTCCTTCGCTCAACATTCTACCGCAGAATGGAACAGCTCTATAAACGCGCCCTTAAAGTTCTGATTCCTAGTGCCTAGTACTCTTCTGCCTAGACTGAAGGCCTTTCACCAAGTGCCTACTCTTTGAGCAATCTCGTGAATTATAAATCTTTAGCTTCCAACAGACGTAGCCTTGCAGTCGCCGACTGGACGACGAATTTTTTTGTAAACCAATGAGCGAGCACTCTACCAAATTCAAATTCATAATTATCGTTCATTGGTCAGATAACTTCACAAGCAGTTCTTATTTCCTAATTTCAAGTTCGAGGCGGGTCAAGTGACAAACAGCAAGGACAGTTAGAACATTACCAAAGCGTATGCGCGTTATCCTAAACATGAGAGATCAGTTAACAAGTGATTTTGGAGCGATATTTGCTGTATGAAAAGTTTTGAATTTTGCGTTACAAGGAGAGCTAGAACGGTAGAACAAGGGGGTACACAGGAATAACACGGCGAACGTTACATGTGGCATGGATTTAAGCTAATCCGCTAAAGGGTTTCCCTTTTTTTGACAAGGTGTGGGTCCAAATCAGTTTTGTTAATCTTGATGAAATTGTCGTGAGAATCTCCTTCATTGATGCACATCATGTGCGCGCACAATATCTTCATTCTTAAATATATTACTTCCTAAATTTACCAACACATTGTCCTGAAGTCTGTTTAATGCTAACTGAATTGATGCTAACTGCATTTTCTCTCGTGTTTGTACAGATCTTCCACACGAAGTGATTTTTATCGGCTGTAGGTTCCATCGAAAATGGTATACGTTTTATTTCGCTTAAATTTTACCGTAGTTAGCGAAGGCCAAACTTTTCGACAACATTTCCTTACGCAGAACCATGAATTCGGCAATAGTCATTGATTTGGGCTGCTTACGAGAACGCACGTGTGAGAATCGGTCTTGGGTGCTTTTATACTCAAAATCGGCCAATTACGATCGGTTCAAACTGTCTAATTTGAATACAACCAATCAAAGGACCGCTGATGTGTTTGATGCTTTATTCTTCCAACACAGTTGAATTGCGTGTGGAGTAAAAGCAGTTCACTGTATCTCGGACGTTTTATACATGTCCCTTTTCTTGAAACGGATTATTACTGGCGGTAATTGGTTTAGGTCGATCACTGCCATTGGTTCAAATTTGATGATGCTGTCGGTCTGGTGTATTGCACAAAGGTGAAAACTAACCTTAGAAACCGTGTTCCGTTAACACATCAAAGTACTTCACAAGTAATTGCCAACTGACGGGAAGTTACTGGTGCATGAGTGGTAAATAATGTCACTTCGACCGTGTGGACAGCTCTGACCTTGAACCATCTGGTGACCAATTGTGATGTCAACTCGCCGCTGTGCACTTTTCCAGCGTTCGATTCCCGCGCATGGCCGTGGGGGTGTAAGAGGAGGCTGGCACTGGCGTTGTGCGGCTTCTCTGTTTATGCTAACCTAATGTGAAATCATCCTTTGTGTTAACTTAAGTCAGGTGTGATACGTGCAAACACTTTACTCGATTTGTATTGAAGTCGTGAGAGAGAGGGAGAGTAGGTGTCGTCGTCGTGATATTGTCTAGGTGTTTGTTGAGTTTAATAAGATATTCCAACGACAATACGTTGATTCGATGTAGTAGGAGTAATTCTTGCGGTTAAAATCGACCTTCCCCTCTATTGGTAAATTCAGTGGGAAGATCTTTAAAGTAACCACTACACTTGAGGAGTCGTTACACCCTGGCAGGCTGAAGTTCCGGAATATTAAGAGGTTTGCCTCCTATCCTAAACAAAAAATATTGTAACAATGATTAGAGTAATCGGTTAGTGTATACAACATTCTAGATTCTTACCGCTGAGGGCGAACTGAACAGTGTTCTAACGGAAGTCAGTATAGTAAAACAAGGAGTTTCGACGAATAACATGACAAATACCACAAGCTGTGTGTAAATAACACCAGCATAAGCAATCGTCGATGTACGCGCTGGAATCGAGGAATAGCAAAGACAATCCGAAGGTGGATTTTTATTTTCAACAATAAGCAGTAAATGTGTAGAACAAATAGAGTCTTTACCACTATTGTCCATTTTGCGTAGTGTGTTAGCAACATCAGTATAGTAAAACAAAGGGTTACGCGGAAATAACGTGACAAATGTCACAGTTTGTGTTCAGGTGTTGGTTGAATTGCAGTGTCGAGGGTCGGCTGGTCTAAGGCGTCGCTGCCTAAGCTGATGCGTAAACATCGATCCGACTGTTGTGAAGAAAGTGGATAAGTACATCACATCTGCCAAAATAGAGTTTCGAACAAAACGTTTTCTTAAGAAAGTGCCTTTTGAGGACACTCTGAATCAAACCCACGTTATCAAACCAGTAAAGTTTTTAAAGCTATCACAATTCGACAGCTTAAACGCGCTCTTGACAGATATAAGTTATTGCAGAGGAATACCTTCAGCTCAATTTACCGTTGGTGCCTAATTCTTGTGAGCTCCGACACATAATCACGTTTGTGGAAGGAAATTTTTCTGGCTAGCGTTCAACTGTTGTAGCACAATGCAACGCCAGAGGGAGAGAGACTCAACCATTTATTTGGTGTCTCAACCAATTTGTGACTGTCGTGTCCGGCAAATGGAGGTTGTTGACCAATACAGTCATGGGGGAACCTATAAAAGTACAAATTCCTGAAGAGGCAGATGAGTGTAACGAGCAGCCTGAGGCAGTTTGAGCAGACGGTTTGGCAAGATCGGTAGGGACGGCGTGAAAATGGTGTCCGAGTGTCAGAAAATGCGACAACCGGTTTAACGGACGGGAATCAGGATGATCCACTACACAAACATTGCTGCCATGATATCTGACCTTTCAATCAAAATGGACTCTGCTGGGGAAATGACCTTGAAATGGCCTCGAATTGAGCACTAGAAGATGAGCAAATCTTGCCTGTCTTCTCAATTTTTTACCAAAAGCAATCCTCAGAACTATAATCCATTTTATTCTACCAGTATTTGTGCATCCAATTTGAAGCAATGTCGATTTGAAACTGACGTGTGGCTGCCACTATCTTTCAAGATCGTAGAGTTACAAATATCATTGTTGAACTGCTTTGAATTAGGAGAAGCATCTCCAAAATCCACCGTTTCTTCTCACAAAATGGCCATTAAAATAGTGCAGTTCGTGGCTGTGCGGATAATGCAAGCAGTCCAAGTACAACTTAAACGGTTGTGAGTTGTGTTACCCGCGGAAGACACATCAAATGCTTCTTAGATAGGCCCTTCCCATGTTGCTTCATGCGTTTACTTGTCCTGCTATGAAATCTGACCTTGTAATCACGCGCAGCCTTTTTAGATGGATGAGCTTGACGTGACCTTCGATTGAGCACTAGCGGGGGACCCTGAATCGTCCATTTCGTGCGCGTCATTGAAGGACAGCATCGTAACTAATAAGCACATTATTTCACACAACATTGTGGGCTGTCTTTGACCTTAAAACACCCCATGTTCCCTTTACCGCTCTAGCTTCACATATCGATTGCTTCCTAATCTCTCGGTTCGAATTGGTGTTTGTCTAAATAATGTAATTTGTTTTTGAAGTTCACGTTATTTCATGTGCTCTACAGGCATTGTGTACTTTGGTGTTCAGTCACTTGGTTGCATTGTTTTCAGCCAACTTCCACGTGTCACCGGAGGTCTCCAACACACGCGATGGCGGCGTCGAAGCAGACCGAAAGGGCTCCGGGATGAGCTGGCTACCAGTCTTCGAATATCCCCTCGTCCACCTACTCCAGCTGTTCCCCTTCGAGCACTTCCTGCGCCTCCTGACGTGCGCCTTCCTTGAACACCGCATCGTCCTACTCTCCGCCGGTTCGTTCTGTCCATTTCCCGTGTTGCAATCTGCCCCAGACGTGGGTTTTTTGCGTGTATATCTTACTACCCGTTCTACTTTGTCAGATTACTACCGTCTGATGGTTGTCGGGGAGGGCATAATCTGCCTTCTGCAGCCGTTTGTTTGGCCCCACGTCTACGCGCCAGTTCTGCCCGCAACCCTCACACACTTTCTGGACGCCCCCGTGCCATACATCATGGGAATGCGTCTTCAACAACCGCCGCCGCCGCCGCCACCTTCAGCCTCCGTCTCCGCGACCACCCTGCGCGACTCACTGGCCTCACTCACCGCTTTTCCCAGCTTCGGATTGGCTAGTGAGGTGTGTGTGTGTTCGTGTGTGCGCCCCATCGATTGTCATGCCAATCAACCAATCAAATGCTTCCTTATCTTTGAATGTTTTGTATCCCTATTGAGCTCACCAAAGGGCACGAGTAATTTTTGTGGGAAATTGCCCTTATCTCATAGCAATCAGTCATTTGTTCTCCTCCATTGTTTACGACTTCCTTCCATCCTTTCACCAATTTGTCGGTCATTGCCTCACCACACCCAAATCGTCATTTCACGAGGATGAGGACAGTGGCAAACAGCGTTCAAGTTAGCTTGAGATTTCAACCCCAAGCATTCCGGTAAAATCGTATTTTAGTAGGCATTTAATAGACGATTTTTTTGCTGGAAACTCAGTAAAATCTCTCGTTGGTATTCTTTTTTGTGTTTTATACCAGGCCAACGTCTGCTACGTGGACATTGACCAGGGCAAAGTGCACTCCATGGACGTCGACTTGCCGGCGTTTCCCAACTCCACAGAACTGCGCCAGGCCATCGAAGAGGCAGTGCTGTCTCACCATCGACGACAGCAGATGTTTGCCCAACCACCAGGCCAAAGTTTGAGTGCAAACTTTATCGCCACGCCCCTCTCGTCCGTGCCCCACCGCCAATCAGTCTCCAGAACCAGAAGTAACTCACATTATCCCTTGCTATGTGCTCTACTTTTACAAGTCGCCCTTGCACCATGGTCTCGTAGAATGTTTCACACAATAGACCGGAATTACGTGTGTAGGGTACCCAATTATGTGATCATTGGATGACCTTGAACAGTAACGCCCTCAGGGTTGAAATAAACCAATAGAATGGTACATAGCAAATCGGGATTTTGGGATATGTTGACTTCACCAATATGGAGTTAAGCATATCAGGATACGTGAGACTGTTTATTCACGCATTTGCTTTCCACTTTGAAGGCTCAAACTCTGCGCATGTTCGTCTAGGTTCGGATGCCTCGATCCGCGTTCCCGCGAGAAAGGCTTCTGAGTGCCTGTCGTCGTCCACGGTGATCAAGAGGCCGCAGCTCTCAGCAAAACCTCCGATCATCCAGGTTGGTTGCGTGTTTGATCCAGTGGGGGCAATTTTGGGTGGTACCATAGCGTGTTTCCTGCCTTCACTTTGTTCCCTCTTCAGCATACGCGAGTTTTAAGTTGAAGTGGTAGTTCTCAGTGAAGAGGCAATTTCACAATGTCTTAGTAGAAGGAAAATCTTGCCCCAAGTACAAGAATGTGTCGACGTTGAAGTACAGAAGAACTGCTTTCCAGTCTGTTCGATCAGCAAGAAAGATTAGCGGATTCCTTCATTATTGAGATTTGATTAGAAGACTGCGAAACGATGTAAAAGTGTGTAGTTTTAGGACAAGGTTATCTCTAGACCAACAGAATGACGCCAGAGGATTTCAGATTTCGATCGTTTGCGAGCTACTGGTGTGTTTTCACTAGGCATCACGCAGATCGCTTTGTGGTTTTTCGACGTGGTACTTAAAAGTAGTAGTTGTTGACTAACTACTGGCGCCTAATTTTTAATGTAATTTTCGCGAGAGTCGCGCTACGTTAGCACCAGGTTCGTGAGTGCATTTCTGTTTGGCCACAATTGCCTTTAATTGTATCCCAATTCCATTTCAGCATCGAAGGTTTGTTGTGTTTTTGCTTTCGACCCCTTCTGTTGTGTTGACGCGTTAAAAACCCAGCTTTGCTGTCCTAACGGATTTTTGTGTGGTTTGTGGTGTTTTATCATTTCTTAGAGTTTAACCATTTTGCCTGCTTTTTTTAAAATTGCTCTTTCATGGCCGGATTTAGAGAGCACTTGGTTAACGGTTGTGTGCGGCACTAAATGACCAGAAACGCGACGCCCAAAGTGCAAATGAAGTCCTTACTTGATCTGTTTTCCCCCACCTACAAGCGCTCGGCCTCCTATCGGTTGATTGAGCAGATCGCAGTGACTACTACGGCAAGCCAGAGCTCTCTTCAGCACTCCTTCACGGAGGAGGCGATCGCCACGGCACCTTCCACGGACGCCTCAACGACGCCCTCTTCGGACTCGGAGGTCTGCGCGGCGTCTCTTTCTGCGGAGGAGTACGCGTCGATGATGCGGAAAATCGCCAAGCAGGTCACCTCGCGACAGGTGTGTCTTGTCTTCGTGCGCGTGGAATGCCTCCACACCATGTCCCCTATCTGAGGTGTCCACAATGACAGCAAGATTTCAACAATGTGGAAGTGTTAAACACAGCTCGCTAGCTCCGGACTGATTGCAGACGTTTTGGTCGATGGTAGAAGCGGCCTAATGCCTCACAAACGTTCCGTTTCCAGACGGTTATCTTAATGTATCGCTTGTCAGACTAACCTTTGAAAGAGGCATGAGTGCGTACTAGAATTGCAACAGAAGATATTCAAGGCATTTGCTTGAATCGTGTTTCCATTCATCGGACGGTAGAACGTGAGTTCGTCCATTTGAAAATAGCACCTAGCTCTGGGGTAATGCTGAAGTGTTGGTGGGCGGATTGTAGGTAAATAAATGTCTGGGAGCCACTTCCACGCAGGCAGACAAAAAATGCGGAGTATTGCAGTGAGCAAATCACTAAAATCAATGTAGCAAACCCATGTTAAATGTGCATTTTGACTAGGTGAAAAGACATCGTCTCTCATGAAGACAATTCTAGATGAGACAGCTTTAGGCGGTAATGGTTTCTATTTACTCAGTATTTGCTCTAAATCAGTGCACTTGCGAATTCATCAGGCTTGTTTCAAAAAAAAATAAACTTACGCGTCTATCCGCAGGAGCTTCCGCATTACGCGGATTTGCTGAAGTTCAATTACGCCATCCGTGACATCTTCCTCAGCCACCTCTCCATGATATTTGTCGACTTTGAGACCTTTGTGGTCGCGGGCCACAACAGTGGCGACACCGAAGACCAGGCGAGCTGTGGTCTGCAGGCCTTCGACAAGGTCGGGTTTCTCTCCGACTGTCCTGAGACGCACATGTCCTTTCTAAGGTAACTATCTAACTTAATCACTTCCCTTGTGCCAGCAACTGCAATTTTTAACTTGATTACTCCCAAATTACGATTCGTGGATGTAGGAACTGTTTATTGGTGTTTAAGATAAGCCATTAGTTGGAGTAAACCGTTCTTAGATGGCTTGACTTGTAGACGTGCTGTTTGTAATTGAATTCTGATGTACGATTTTCTAGAGAAATTGAATTACTGGCGGCAAGGAGGTGTCCGAGCAATCGGTCTTTACTGGAGTCGCCTCTATTTTGCCCCACGTGTTTTACAAGATTACCGTTTAGGCTGTTTTGACACAACCGAAAGCCTCGTGGCTTTCCGTACTTGCCGGCCATCCAATCTCTAAAACTGCCCTAACGTGCGAACGTATTTGGGATGTTTACAAACGGAGCGGACTTGGTCGGGAAGTGGTAGATGCTTCTAGTGGGTGATGTGGAGCGATCAGCCAACTTTTTAGCGAAATCATGCCTTGCGACTTTTAACAATCCAATCAGCTGGCGTTGTTTGTCCCTAAAGGTTTGCTTTCGTCTGCTGTCCTTCCTTCTTTCTTTTTCCGCGTCGCCTTCTGTATGATGCAACACCGCGACTAGTCGTGGAAATTATGTTGCGCTGACAGCCGTTTCGCACTCGTATAACTTATTCTCATTCATACCTTCTTCACCAAGACACAACTCTACGCCGCTAATGCGCTTGACAGTAAAGTGTGATTTTAACTTATGCCTTATGCAATCTGAGCGTGTCTCTCTGGCACGTCGTGGGAAACAGCTGAAGGCTTCAATTACTGCCAACTTCCTTAATGACAGTCTCAGTAGATGGTCGATTTTCGTGCTCAACTAGGTAGTAACCTTCAATGCCATCGTTTTTCTTATGCTTTTTTGACCTCCGAAGTCAGTGAAGGTCATTCCTAACAAGGCAATAAATTGTCGAGAATCAAAGCTAACTGAGGCTGCCTGCAGTCCTGTTACGCACCTCTATGAAGCTCTAAGAATCGGTACGTTCCACAAAAGTAGTCATTCCACACAGCACTTTTCTACGCTCCACCAATTAGAATGAGAGATTGTGCTCTGCTGATATTCTATTGGCCACTCCTTTTGGCATCACCTATCAGCGCATAATTAGGCAACTGTCCACTCTATTAGGTTGCATCTCATAGGAAAAAAATCAGCAAAGTGTCGAGAACTAAAGCTAATTGATGTCCCTTACAGTCCTTGTGTGCATCTCCTAGGAACTTCAAATATTGGTATTTCATGCAATTGTATTTATTCTTTATAACAGTTCTCAACTTATATCTAATTGGTTACTGTTCGTAATTTTCTAAGAGCGCAACATTGAAGAACTACGTTAGATTAGGGTGCTTTTTTATTGGAAAAAAGCACGCGCGTTTGTAGTTGACATTTTTTACTCTGCTTTTCAGCGCCTTTCTTGAAACCCAAATGTTCGCCACCTTCATGGACACCCGACTAGCCATGGGTGCCACGCGCCAAGCCCAGCGGTGCACCAACTGCGGCATGACCCGAGCCGCCCCTCCGCCTGCCGCGTCGACGCCTCACGGCCCCACCACCCTCGCCGCCGGCTCGTCTGTTTCCGCTTTCCTCGCCCGAGTCCAGGCCCTCAAGGAGTCGACGGTGAACTCGTCTGTGGCACACCCCCAGCCCCCTGCCACGGATCGTCTGTCGCGTCGGCTGCCACAGCACCTCGACGACACCCACACACCGTCGACCAGTCGAGAGAGGAAGGCGCGCCATATTGCCACAAGTGAGTGCTACTCTCAGTGGCCCCCTGCCCCGGGCTCAAGCCACCAGTCCTGTTCTAATTGTTCACATGTCTTAGGCTCCCTCAAATCTCCGCTGGATGGCGTTCAGTTCTGCAGTGCCCCTCTGCCTCATCCTCTGCCGTCAACGAAGAAACCAACCTTCGCAATTTCTTATCAGGTAACCGAGTGTTGAATTAAAGCAAGCGAGAATCAGTTGATAAGCCCTCAGTACTCCAAGAAGTTTGGGGATTGGTGATCAGTATTTCTGACCCCTCTTCATTCTTATTGGTCTGCTCTATCATCTTGTTTTCCCTGGGTGTCAACAAGGAAAAAAAGGACTAAAAGGTGTTTCTGCTATTTGTGACTATGGAGTGTCGTGCCTTTTCTGGACGACGGACGTGGAGTTTGCGTGATTTCATGGCTCAAACCAAAGCATACTACGCCCCTAGCTTCTTCGTCTTCAGTTGGCTTTCTCACCAAGCCGAAGCCAAATGTTCTCCACTCAACTTTTGTTTGCTCAAAGGCTGTACGCATTACTAGCAAGTGGTTCTTCTCCCTGCTCCCCATCTAGGTGGATCGGTTTCCACTGCTGGACGGCAGTCTTCTCAGCAAGTCGCCAGCGAATCGCCATCCCCGCGGCGACTCACCGCCCACGGGAGCCGCACTCGCGGTCCCCTCGCCATTTCTGCCGGACGTCGAAGGGGAGCAGCAGGCGTCTGCGCTGGGCGATGACGCCATCAAGGCAGTGACCTGCGAACACTGCTCAGCGCCGCAGACACTGCCGATACCCGTGATTGACCAGACCTCGGCGCCGACTCAGTCGACTTCCTCGCGCACAATTCAGGTGTGTTGTTCGTCATCGTAGTTGATTAAAAACAAGACGGCACTAAATGTAATGTAATAACTGTGTAAAAAATCCAGGCACCCATGAATTGAGCTTGTAATTGACTGGTTCGTAGACTGACTTGGTCATTGGAACATGATTGGTTGAAGGCAAAGGATGTGATTACAAATGGCAAGCGCAAGCATCACGTAATCCTAGCTAGTGTCTTTCTTGCACACAGCTCAAAGGCCGTGACGGTTTGACACGCCTGCTCACCGGACCACCTTCAGGGACCCACGAAGCGAGCTCCCAGTCTCCGTCGATGGCTCAGGCTCACTGGGACTTCGTCGACGCCTTGCTTGAAGAGTGCAAGCACCGGGTAAGTGGTGCTCCCCTCCCCGTCTTCTTTTGTTATTGGTTTTTGCTGGCTTCGCAGATGATTCAATGTTGATGGAGTAGGTCTAGTAAAACCCCCTGTTGAGCCGTCGGCGTCACCAGTTGCAGACGTTTCTGAATCTGGCGTCGAAATCGCATTGGCTACGCAGGTGCCAGATTATTAGACGACTTAACTGAGTTGGGTTTTTGAATTGCACGGTGGGATGTTTACTAACACAGACGTGGACTTTTTTCCAGTGTGTAGGCAAAAGCGATGGGGGACGCTGAACGTTGGAAGGCGTGGTTTACACGGATCTTAAGTGCTCCCACGCTCTCTTTCTGGTAGCGCTTTCGCTGTTGACCTTTGAACGCTTCGAACACCCACACCAGTCACCTTAGAAGATGACGATTCAATCCCACGCCAAGATCGCGTCACATTCTGCAATGTGGCTCGTTCAATGATGGCAGCAAAGTAATCACTGAAATCGATATTGGATTTTCACAACCGAGTCTTGAAAAGTTACTTATTTTTGCGTTAGTTCTGTGCAAAATTTGGGCCTCGTGGGACCACATTCTTTTTCCGCATATTCGGAAGCTGAATACGCACAGACGCGCACAGTCGGACCTTCAATTTTACGTGTCACTTGCACTCTCGTCTTCCTTGGGGCAGTTTAAGACCGTCTAGATGCCGGTTACTTTTAGACGAAACGCATGGTCATCCAGAAGATGGGTCAGGAGGCGCTGCACTTGGGCCACAACTACCAGTCCGTCTCGGAGGTGGAAGAGAACACCCTCGTCTCTGGACTCTGCGACCTCCTGGAGCGCATCTGGTCGCACGGCCTTCAAAAGAAACACGTGAGTGTTTGTGGTGAATGTACGGACTCAGTTTGAAGCGATCCAGGAAGTGTACAAAGTAGCCCTAACCCCTAGCCGGCGATCAGGCGTCATTCCACCTCCTTACTTCTTTCTCCCTCTCTCTCTCCCTGTCTTGCCCCTCCACTTCCCCTATCGACGCCTTTCCGGGCTCGTGTTCTCGACCCTCTTCCACCGAATTTGGGTAATTCCTCCACATTATGCAGATCACATACCAGTCCCCTCAACGTTTCTTGCCTATTTTTCTCTTGACACATCAGACAGCGGTCACTTTTAACGCACCTTATGAGAAATTTATTGTTTACCTCTTAGTTTGCGATTAGAAATGGACAATTTTGACACATGGTTTACAAAGGGTACCAGATCAGTCTGTGGTGTTGATTACTTGACAAGCCGCGCGTGTCGGAAGTGGTGTAAAAAGGTTGTTCTGCTTCATCCTCACTCAACCACTACCACCGTCTTTCTGGCCGACCTCTCCGACCAAATCATAGCCACAGTCGAATGTAACTTTGGCCATACATCTGTACAAAAGGCTGCAGAAGTTTTTTTAACCCTGCGTCAGAAACACAACGACTGTAACTGTCTTTTGCGTGAGACATTTTTAAATTGCCACGTCATCGGTCTAACTTGGTGACAAGAAAGGTTTAGACTGGCACAAACTATTCCAAGATGCTAAATTTGTGCGGTCGGATCTCGATATGTTGGTCACTTAATTTACTCAATTTTAGCGTGTGTGTGTAAGCTGTAAACGTGCTCAAATTGAGTCGATTTGATGGACCCCTTTCATTTCCTCAAATTCGGGTACATCTGGTTGGGGATGTGTGAGTTTGTAGGTAGTTAAGACTGTGTGTGTCTGTTTGCAGGTGAAGTTGCCTGTCTTTTCCCCTTTATTTCTCAGATTTGTAAAAAAACATGACAGGTTTCGGTTATTCAAAGAGTTTTAGCACAGCGAAAATTAGTACTTGCGATCACCCAATCATTTTTGCCCTGGTCGACCCTGGCCCATTTTAAAGGGGATGAGCCAGTTAGATGGAGGCAGTCGATATGAATACGAGAAATGGTGTGTATGACCTCCGATTAACGGTGGAAATCATGTGACTAGCACTTACGCGAACCTGTACAATGGATGTATGAGTTTGTGAGTAGTTAAGACTGTATCCGCAGCTGAAGTCGACTGTCGTTTCCCATTTTTTTCTCAGATTTGGTTATTCGAAGAGTTTTAGCCCAACGAAGACTAGTACCTGCGATAACCCAATCATATTTGCCTTGGTCGACCTTGGCCGATTTTAAAGGGATGAGCCAATCAGATGGGGGCGGTCGATATGAATACGAGAAAATGTGTGCATGGCCTCCGAATAACGGTGAAAGTCATGTGACTGTCAACTACGAGAGATTATACAATGGTAGTAATTGGATTTATTTTATTGTCATCCGTTGCATTTTCTGTTTTGCAGGGGGCATCGGCTCTCTGGGTGCATCTCATGGCGTTCGTTGATCGCAACTCGACACTGTCACCCGAGGGTGTTCACCAGACCGCGCAGTCCCCGGCCTCGTTGTCGACGCGTCCACCGGCGTCGCCTGCCGCGTCTGGTCGAATCGCGCGCTCCGCCTCCACAGCCTCCACCGCACCACCACCTAACCCTGAGTGTAGGCCTCTGCCCCCTTTTGTGCGCTCAAAAACGCCTTGAGACCTCTCTCCCCCCCACCCCCCGGGGCAACGCAATTGACAGCCTCAGTAGAAGATTAGACATTGGCCTTCAGAAATGTGCATTTCATGGACTATGGAGAGTCTCATCTGTTACGGTTGCCCGTGACAAAGAGAGAAAACCACTCAAACAACGGTGCCAGATCCTTTGTTGACGCTAATACAAGGACAAGACCAGAGCCCGTGTAGAGAGAGCTTTAAAACACATGTTAGTGAATTAGTGTAGATTGTGCCAGAAACCATCGATGAGCAATCTTGGGATACCGTGGATCACCAACGCCTCGAGAGTGAATTTCGTAATAAGTATGCACCCTTCATGTTCCACCAGGTGCACAGGAAACCCTTCTTCAAATGGATGTCGTGTTTCGGCGTCAATGCGCTGGGATATTTGGTATCTACCCACGACATTAACGCCTAGGATTCTCGTACCAAACTATACGTGCCATTACCCATAACATTGTTTCAAAAGAAATACTTTTTTCGGCGGGCAAACAGTGAAAGGCGTGTGCTCATACGTAGCCCTGGATGCTAAGCTTTTGAATTGCTTTCATTTGGTGGTGTGAATGCTCGGAAATAGCTGTTTGTGTGACTCCTAATTGAGTTGAAAGCTCTTGTTGTGTTTGCGCTGAGTCTTCATTCAGTGGAGCTTGCAATTTCGTATCTGAAAACATTTGAGGCTGCTGGCCGGGGCACGACTGGTCACTAGGATCGAAATTGCCACGTCTAAAGCGTTTATACCAATAATTACACGTTTCATAATGCACAAAGTCGTCACCAAGACTACCACAAATTGATTTCCACGCTTTGGAAGCATAATTTCCCTTTTGAATTTCGTTTAAAATGCTGCGCCCAATGTGTTGTTCATCAGTTGCCATGATAACCTCTGTATTTGTGAAGGATTATGTAACTCACGCAGACTTGTTGTTCAATGTTCTGCAATCTTGCGTCCGATCCTTTCAAAACCACTGTTGTGAATCGTGTTTAGTCACACCCCCTGAAACCGGTCGCTCCACCTCCTACACAGGGTTCCCCTTTTCGCATCATGTCGCCAGCCGCGCGGATCCTCAACTCCCCCCTCATTCACACGGATAGTTATCTTGGGTGATCCTCACATGTATGTATGTATGTATGACTCACACATCTGAGGTGTAAATACACACCCGTACACCCCACACACGACACAACGACACCAACGTGGTTGAGCTCTGAAGTAAACACTTGTGTGCGCGTCCTCCCCGATCTTATTCCTCATCGTCGGTATCAGGGAAGTGCAATCGGGCCAGGGTTAACACCGTGGCCCCGGCGTAGTTCAAGACTACATGGTATGGCCCACAACACCACAAAGAACCATGAAAATATTTCTGTATTAAATGTAATTTTAGGCTCGAAGACAGGATCTGGAAAAATTAGGTCATCCGCCCAATATCCGGGATATTTCCTAATGGGGTCGTGTGGTTACATTCCTAGATTCCCAACTGACACCCACCAACTACGCAAGCATTCCACGACGCTCGGCAGGTCCGACGGAGCGCCGGATATCCCAGACGGTGACGAGGTCGTCTTCAGTGGTGCCGTCGGTGGCGGTGCAGCGCTCGCCGGCGGTGGCCCGCATGCGCCAGCTCTGGGGCTCCGGGCAGCGCCGCGCCTCCACGCCGGGTCGCGCTGAGCCGTCGACAACGTCCACGCCGACCACCCCACGAGCCGCCGACGGCGCCCTCGTCGTCTCCGTCGCCAGCCTCCTCGACGCCGGTGGCAACTCCGTGGCGTCCCTCCTGGACGACGTCGAGGCTGTGCGCACCGTCGCCTCCACTGCGGGCTACAAACTGCGCACAAACATCGGTCTGGCGAGGGCCTTTGTTCGGCTCGCGCTGGAGAAGAAGCGTCTCTCGGCTTACCTCAAACTCCTCCTCTCCGACGCCGTGCTTCTCAGGTGTGTGTGGGTGTGTGATCACTGAATAATCGTCACTGCGTAACAAGCTGACAAGATCCACTGGTGACATGCGGGCGAATCGATTGAAAGTAGGCCATAGTTGATGCCGTCTTCTCCCTAGAGAGCTGTACCTGCGCCACGCGTTCCTGCGCTGCGAGGAGGAGCGAGAGCAGTTCCTCATCCACCTGCTCTCGCTGGACGCCGTCGACTACTACTCCTTCACGCGGATGCTGCAGAAGGCTGAGCTGCTCTATCGCGTGGCGGTGGTCTCGGCGGGTCGCGGTCGGCTGCTCGTCTCGTCGTCCGCCAACGCCTGGTTCTGCCTTCGTGGCCACTTGGGCAGCTCGGGCGTCGTCGCTCTGCCTCGCTCGTCGCCCTCCTACCTCGAGTTCCAGGTACGTCGGTGTTAGGATTTGGTTTCCTGATAAGTCTTGTCATAAACACTTTGGATTGTCATTCGTGAGATTGGGTCCTGCATCGATGTCACAAGTTGTCCTGCTTTTTATAACAAGAAACGCACGTGTTGGAAGTTACCAAGGTGCTAGGGGTTTCAACCGAAGTAGGTCTAGTTTTAAAAGATATTTTACCAAATTTTTTTCAAAATCCTGTGCTTGAGGTCGAGTAAACGGGAAAATTGAAAACGGAGCTCGTGGTGGGACTCCAACACGGTCAAGTTTGCCATGAATTTATCCAGAAAAGTCTTCAGCACCTTTAGCACAAGTGTGACCAATCGAAATTGGTTTCTAACGAAGTCGGCAGTCCCCTGTTTATTCAAAGTTGCATCCACGTTTGTTTTCATTTGAAGTTCGTGGTAGAACTGTTCTGGCGTCTGAGTTTGACAAGTGTGCCAACGGGGAATGCTTTTCCCGATTCCGACGAGTGAATTTAAGCTTGAAAGACGAACCAAGAAAGCTGGATTCCGAGCTTTCGAGGCTGCAGTCACAGAAGGTTCCACCACAACCTCCAGGGATTACATAACTTGGAGCACAACTGTTGCGCCCCATTAGAAATGGACCGGAGATTGTAGCTGGGACACAATTTTGACTGAAATATCATCGCTACTTTTTGAATTTCAGTAATTATATCTAATTGCAGATCATAAATTTCGCGGTAATTTACGTCACCGTATTTGGACAAGTCGAAGAGTACAATTTCTAGACGGTAGCTAGCAGGATATGTCCTTAATGCCGAAACGTCCAACTAGAAGGCCAAATGTGTATTTCGCCAGTAGAGTGATTTCTACGATTTTAGTTCACATTAACTAACTTATACCAGCCTCTTTTGAGTTAACAATGTCTTTCTTGTTCATGCTATTCGAAAATGATTACATGGCAGAAATGTCATAGTATGTAGGTGTAGTGAAGGTGCCGAGGCAAGAGAAGCGATTGTCTGGTAGATGAAAGAAGCTGAAATTCCACATTGAAAGACGACCCAAAATGAAGCCGCAGTCACGGACGATTCCAGCACAGGCTCAAGCGAATATGACTTGGGTAACAGCTATAAGTCAATTCTAAGACAGCGGAAATGCTTTAGCGACTGTAAAACAGTTCCCGTGTGGTCTAAGTCCAAGGAAAATCTGCGACACCGTGTTGTTTGTTGTGGATTATTGATCTCAAGACACCTTCACACACCGTTTGTTGACAGTCTTGACGGGACGTCGAAGTTCCACTATGGTGTTGAGCGTTGACTACCTGGGCTTAAGCGAGGAAGGTTACCGATCTAACAGCCCAGACGAGGGCTTCAATCGTGGAAGCCATTTCAAGCGCCAACCGAGACCAAAGTTATCGCCTAAAAGCAATTCCGAATCAGAAGCCTCACCTTGCATATTTTCCTGACCGTGAATCCTCTGCGAGACTCAGGATCATCTGTATGGTGTTGAGTTGACATTAAGAGCAGAAATTACGAATGAACTCTTTGTAATCTGTTTCCAAACGCAAAATTTTACAACAGTTGTGTTTTTAAACTCGTTAACAGGTGGAATGAGTTTCAAGAAGGCAGTGGAGTACTTGTACTCGGAAAATAGCATTTTTTTACCATGTCTCCATTTGAATTGATTAAATATCTTATCAGCGGGCAAAGAAATGCAAATTTGTTGAAATGCAGCCGCATACACCATTCGTCCTGTCTACAAATCAACTGACCTGCCCCCCCCCAACACGTGTGGTGATTGGCCAAACACAAGAAGGCTTGTTGACTCAGGTCGATAGAAGATAGATGCAACAAGACAGGCCTTGTTGTTTCAAAGCTATGGCTCATAAACCATCCCCTCCATCCGAGTTTGTCTCACTGGCTGCTCTTATAATTTTATGGGCTTCCTTATCCATTCTTGTCTTTGATTGGTTGCTGATCTTCCTCTTAAACCACTTAAACACACGGGGACAGGTGATTGGTTGAGCTTCAATGTGGCGTAATCCAACATGGCTGCGGCCTATGTCAGCACCGAAGCAACGCTTTATTAAAGTGTTTCAAATTTTATTGTAGCACCAGAATCTGGGCATCCTGAACACCCTCCTGATTGGCCACGACAACGCGGGCTTCTCGCCCAACATGTTCATCGAGGCAGTGCTTGTTGTGACCCCATTGACCAATCACGTCTACCTGTAAGTGTTGTCTCCACATTTGTGTATTTTTTTTAAACTTCTCTGTGATTGTTTACCAAGGACTTCCTTTTAATCCTAATTCAATTCGCGGTCTTAGATTTCCGTGCGGTCATTGGCTGGGCCGGGGGGTCGAAGACAACAGTTGTGAACGCCTTCTCATTGGTCAAGTGGCACGAGTCACCAATGAGGGAACCGGTGAGTGGACAGTCTCCTCTCTGATTCGTGCGCCTCTCAAAAGTGGCCGGAACACAATGTGCACCGCAAAATAACATTTCTACTTATTACATTTCAGTAGTCGTGTCTCGTTCCGGAGAGGGTGCCGCCATCGAGAACGAGGAGGCCGCCTCGAGTCTGTCGGCGCCGTTGATGAAGCTGTACGCGGACACGATCCTCGACCCAGGTGCGTGCGTGTATGTGGGGCGGGTTTATCGAAAGAGCTTGCGTGGCTGTGCCAACTCATTTGAAGAGGCTGTGGTCTATTTTTTTTGTGTCGTCCAGTGACAAGCGCGGTGCTCGACAGACTGGCTAACGCCGTGAATCGCCTGGCGAAGCACTTCGCCTGCGCGGGCAAAGCCGAGGCGACGATGTCGCTGTCGGCGTTGCTCTGCGGCACGGAGAGTGGCCTCGTCCCGGCCCTGGAAGCCGTCTTCACGCATGGCATTCGCTCCTCCGGCATGTTCCAGCGCCGACGTCTGTACGCGTGGGACTTTTTCGGTGCGTCCGCGTCTCTTCCCTAACTTGGTGCTTTCTTACATGTCTAACTGATGCATTTGTAGGAAAAGGGATCAATGTGGGCTAAAAACCGCGCTTTAATACTCGGATGTGATCTCACACGCGTCTATGCCTTTCAAACCAATCACATTCAAGTAGAAGGCCGAACAAGGCTTACTTGAATAGTTTGCCAGCTGAATGCTCTCTGTGATTTTTAATTTAGCATTTTCATAAGATATTTCAACCACAAAAACCATTCGACTGCACAAGTGAATCCTACACACAAAGGTGCATTCACAAAAGGTGATTCACTAGGTCCTTTACCACCTACTCCTGTTTGTTTTAATGAACGGTACTCTCAGGAACACAAGCACTCCATTGGCTAATCCAAATCGCGAACGTGGGGCAAAACGGCCATGATTGGACTTAAGCCGTTGAAACCTACCTACGGTACGTAAAGAGCGCTACCGTTGTTTAAATGCAGGCAAGTATTAGCCAATCGCGTGTGTGCGGGAATTGATTTTCTCGGGTTCTAGTGACAGGCGCATTGTACCATGAGCGTGCTGTGATGATTGAGTTGGGTACAAGTGGGACTGAAGGTGTATGTTGGGCAAAACTGGATTGTTGGTGAAGTTGGGTGTGTGCGTGGCACCTATCCCATTAGTCGGTCTGACCCTGCAACTCGTTGCTGCATTGCCATCTCTGAATACAAATATTTTTGAGGTTTTAATCCGTTTAGGCATATATTTGGCTACTCCTCGGTCCTCACTTCTGTGTTTTTCAAAATCCTGAACCGCACTAGATTGTTGGTTTACACCGTAAACCTGCACTTTTATTCTTGCCAACTCGTTAATGCACTCTTGTTGTGCTTTTTTTTCTGACTGTCATCGTCGCGACTTCCGCGTTTGTTTCGAAGTTGTAAGAGTCTGACAACGTTTACTTTAAAGAGCGCTTCGTCGAGTACAACACACGTAACCCCCCTGGTGACCAGGCGTGCCCCCCACAGGAGCTCAAAGCCGACGCCGAGGTGCGAATCGGTGGGTTTAGCGTGAGTTTCGTCACGTCGCCGCGCGTCGTGCGCACTCTGCCTCGCAGCGGGAACACTGCCTCCGCCGTCGTCGCCACCGCCTCCACCGCGGGCCCCCATAACCTCGACAACTGGAGGCGCGGAGGCGGCACCAGGACGGGACCACCGACGTTGCCCCGACGGGCTCCCCTCCTCACCGCGACGACGTCGTCATCATCGCCGGCGGTTCGCAGGACCTCCAGCGGATGGCAGTCTCAGCCTTGCTCTCCCGGCGCGGTTCTCAAGCAGCGCAGGGACCGCAGTCGCAGCCAGGCCGCGTCGACTATCCTCGTCCTGGAAAACTTCATCGCTGCCTTCAACCATGTCAACAGTAGTGGCGCGGGTGTCGGTAAACTTGGCAAGTTTCAGGTAAGAAATGGCGCCTTTTGCATGGGTCATCTTGGGCTCTCATTTGTCGCCAACTTGTTTCACGTAAAACCGCAACATGCCGTCACCAGCGCAGCCTGAGTTGTGTTTCCGTTAGTTACTCTCTTAGAAACCCTCTGAAGCAATTCCACGTGGCATTTTGGTTGTGCGTGGTTTGATGTCATTCTTCGTTCCAGAACTTTGCTTAAACTGCCTTCATTAAAGAAAGTTGGGTGGCTAGAGCGGGTCTAACGCACTCTGTCCAGTCGATAGTGATGTCTTCTCCGTAGAATAAAGAATGTGCCTTCCAAACGCACAGACAACACTTCAAAATGCAACTAAGGTTCACATCAAAAAACGCTAGACCGCGTTCATTGGCCCGTTTGAAAATGGTGCGGTTTGGTTTAAAGCGAAGTGATTGGTCGTTGTTGTCGTTGTTTGCTCCAGCGCATGGTGTGTATCGGCTGTCGTGACCACACCTTGGCAGCGTGGATTCCAGTTCTGGCGACAAGTTCGCCTTCGGTTGTGCGTCAGATCTACGACACCCGAGTCCCCAACTTCCTGCTGGACGCCGAACTGCGCCAAAGTGTCCAGACCCTCCTCTCAACACTCAACGACTTCACCTTCAAACTGGATCCCGCCCTTCTTGGACTGTGTCCTGAAACCGAGTCTACGGGTCCTGTCGAATGAGGCGACTGCCTCTGTGCTGTGTGCCTTCAATCCTCGACAAGGATGTTACAGCATTTCAGCTCTCATTTTATCAATTCTTAGCACCAGATTCCGTGTATTTTGCCTCACTGCGAGAACGCTGCAAGTGGCGCTCCCGCATTGTACATACCAACGCGCCTCCCCGTGTTCGTAATGCACCACCATTGTTTGTCTGTTGTTCATTTGTTGTAATCTCAATTTCCTGCTCACAATCGCCTCACCCCCTTCATTCACGCATTCCCTCACTGTCCGATCTTCGTTCCTTTTTATATCATCTTTTTTTCTTTAACTTTAAACCCAAATTTAGCAATAATTAGAAGTCGATGAGTGCTGTCGCCCTCTAGTCTGGTGTTTTTTTATGCAATGATATTTAAATTAACCTCTTTTAATTGTTTTTTTTTGTAGTGACGAGGTGAGTGTGCATTTGTCATTTGAACACGAATTTCACCAATGAGTAGCGCTTAATTCGTGTAGTTTATGCGAATATCGCTGGAGATGGAGTGAGTTAGATTAACGACGAGGTGGCTGCTGACCGCTATGCAGACCAAATAGGCTCTCACCTAAACTATTGCCAATCGAATAATGACGTCTTGGCACACTTTTAAAGAGCCTTAAAATGAAACACACAGCCTCGCAAATAATCACTCTTTTTAAGTCCCCCAAATTACGCCAACGAATCAGTTTGAGGGTGGGTCCGTAACTAGCAGGCCTTCGTCTGCTGCTGCATTTAGTCAAAATGGTGTCATTGTTGCCAGACTGGTTATGGCGCCATTTTAGTTCTCAAGCCCGTGTTGTCATCATTCCTCCACCAAGTCGCAATTGACGTGAACTTGCGGCCTGATTTTGTACATCAATAAATGCGCGATAAATGGTAAAGACCAGAGCTGTTGAATCCCATACGTTTGTGTCATTTTGTCCAGCATTGGCACCTGTAATATTCTGTCCAATAACATCAGAGCAATAATCTTATGAAGGATCAGGTTCGATACAAGGATGAGAGGACGAAGAATCGTATCGTACCTCACCTCTTCCTACGCACGCATCTGCATTGACACTCCGCTCCATGCCTAGTTTCCGATACTGCTGTGACTGCCTTCGTAACCGACGTAGCCACTGCGTGATAAGGACAAAAATTTCTCAGACTAAACAGCTTACTGTGCAAATAAAAGGGTTGCTGCGGTGCGTTGGTAAAAGTGGAAATGTGACATGCAACTAGCAGCCGAGTGACAGAATAAACCTCAGTACTCGAACTATTGAATTCGGGAACATCTGCAAAGTTGTCTGAACACAATTTAAACACTCCTAAAAGCGTCTTGGACTCCCTCAGAAGGGTGACATTTGGGTTGCATGTCATTTATAACGTTTATTGTAGAATACCCGAGCCCTAATAGGAAAAAGACCGGTACAACAGAACAGGCTTTATTGACTAATCAGAAGCCAGAGACACACGTCAGGCGCCTTCCATCCGAGTCCACACGCACCTCAGTTGTGTCCTTCTCTGGTTGGCTGCCTGTCTTCCTCGCATGCCATTGAAACACAGAGAGACACAGGATTGGCTGAGGCCAGGTGGTCCAACATGTCTGCGCCCTGATACGACGCCACGTTATGGATTGCAATGAAATCGTCCATATTTCAAACTGAATTATTATTGGTGATTAGGTATGCACCGAACACCGCGGCACCAATTAAAACCAGTCATTGATTAAACTTGCTGTACTGCTACATGTCATATCGAAATCCAAAATGCACCATAAAAACGTTAATCAAAAACAGTCAAACGCTCAATTCAGATGTCTACCGCCAGAAAGATACTGAGTATATCTCAAGTTGCTGTTTTTCTGTTTCGCTTCGTTACGTAGATGAATTTGTCGAACATGGAGGTCTGCATTGGCCGCCTCATTGTTCGCGAGAGCCCTTCAAACACACACACGGCATTTGCTTTCTGTCTTTGTTTGATTGAATAGATCAGCGGTGAGTAAGCAATTGGGCAGCAAGCTTGAAATTGCTGTCATTGCATTCGCTTGGAGAATGTAGAATCCGCGTGCTGAATTTTGAACTCTGCCATCAATTGTGGGCGCTTCATTGGCGTCTTCTTATCGCACCCAAGTGCTTCAGACTATTCTCCGGTTGTTAACGCGGTGTGTGAAAAAGCAGTCTGTCTAGGTGTTCTTCATCAACCTCACCAGAACGTTCGTTGTCTGTGAGATTGAAGTAACTTTCTTTTTCTAAAACGCGAAAACTACCATTGCTCTATCTTATTTGGCACAATGCTCTCCGTAAGAATCACAAATTTTACGAGTACGTCTAAAAATTGCTGCATTTTTAACGCCACGTTTTGAATGGAACTGGCAAACGTGCCAAATCTGCACCTTCCGACTTTAGCTGCCCGATCTGCAGTTATTACATAACAATGAGTGCAATGGTGAAAGTGTTAGGATTACCGGAAACGACGCTTTGCTGTTTTACGAGTTAAAAATTTTGCATTTAAGTCTAGTTGACGTTAAGTTCAGCCGTGTTGGCATGCGGTTAAGGTGCGAACTGTGTAATAGGTTATCACTAAGGTACTTTAAATAGCACTTAAACATGAGATGAGAGTTTTAGCATCATAAAAAAGGAGTTATAAAGATACAGTACTCATTTTCTTTGTAAGACAGACGAAAAACTCGATTGCTTTTTACTGCTTAGAAGACATGCATGATTACTAGTGTATTCGCATGGAATGAACGCCATTTTAGTACCGAGATGAATTTTTTGCCATCTATTCTTTTTTTTAAAAACCAAATCTAACAAAGTGTTGGTACTCCAAGATCAGTTATATATTCGCTAACATTGTTTTCGAGTTCCACACATAGATTTGTTTGTGGCAGCAGCGCGGGCAGGAATGATGCCTCTGATTGGCCTGTTTAAAAATTCGCTCATCGCCCCAGGTAGCAACAAATCGATAATGATAGCTGTAAATGTGTGTGTGTGGTAGCTGCTGGAGTCGATTTACTCAGGCACACTTGAAATCAATTTCTGAACAGGCATTGTGAATTGAAGTGCACTCAAACCAATCAGGTACCAATGTCAGTGATTGTTACGTCAAATCATGCGCCGTCCACGCTCTCACCTGGTAAACCTTGGGTTCCGCATTCTTTTCAAAGCTCATTTACAAGGTCGGTCGAATGATCGCTGCGCTCCTACCACTCGCTTGTCTAAATGGTTCTAATTAAAGTCATTTTGGTCGGAAGTGACGCGTGGAAATTTAGCCATTCATTTAGCATGTAAAACAGGCAAAAAGTGTTATTATCCGTGCGTTCAAACACATCCCATTGTTTTGTTCGAGAAGTTGCCCAACCCAGGTTTTTGACCAGTTCATTCCTCATTTAAACAATTTGTACGATCACACAGTGATCCCCCGGCTTTACCCTGTAGCAGGCCGTGGTGCAGTTTTGGAAACCACACCAGGACCGGCAATGGGCCCTGACGAAGCCCGACCGGAAGATAAGTAAAAATGCGGATGGCGCGTAGCTCAACTAATTTATTGATGCAGCAGCAGTTGTGGTGTGTACACGATAACAAGTGCGTTTTTACAGCTTCGCTAAGCATCGATTTCTGAACGAACGGGGCTACGTGAAGTGCATTCACGAAAAATCGATTGAATCGTGTTGGCTCACGCTTGACCACTGCGTTAGCTCGCGACTGCTGCTCGCCACAACCCCGATGAAAGAGGAGATTGAACAAAGCCGTGACAACCTCACGGAATGCTCAATTTTCACAAATCTTTCTTGTGAAAAAACGCGTTCCATTCCTGCCTGTAGGGCTAGCTTAGGCCATACCGATGAGCAAAGGATAAGTGAGAATCAGTTACCAGAATTCGTAGACTTCAAGCAAACACTAGACCAGTTTATTGAGTACAGTAATATCCAAATTGTCGAACCCGCACGTTGAATGAAACAAGAGTTGTCCTAGATCACACCGATCAGTCAACATCAGGAATGTTGACAGTACCTCAAAAAAAATAGGCTTTCAATGCGTCAATTACCTACATTATTTGACGGGAAATCGTTCTGCGAAACTTGCCCTAGACTACAAACACCATTGACTGTCGCTTGTCTACAACTAGAAGAGTGGACGAGAATGCGCAGACGTGTTTTACCGTCTATCTATGTTGAAGTAATTTATAATGCATTAAAAAATTGGCATTAGCTAATAGGATGAGTGCGTGGTCGAAATGAATCGGTGATCATGATAACCTCGAAGCCTCGATTTTTATTAACCGCGAACGAAGAAAGGTCCAGCAGCCTTCAAGATACGACTCTTGCAGAAAATTACGCAATTTACGAATCTTACCCAATTCAGACACAACATAGCACACCTTGTATTTTAAATTAGCATATAATATAAAAGAATTGGGAGAGATATCGAAGATAGGTAAGGCAGTGAGGAAGAAAGCGGTGGTGAGATTCAGCGTCCATCGTTTTTCAGATAACTCGGTCGACCGGGAACTCCCTGTCCAGCGCCCCAAGGCCTCGTCACTTTGTAGGCCGGAGAACTGACCCCCCCAGGGCTCCCAGCGTTCCCCTCCGCGGAGCCAATCAGCGCGAGGCCGGACGATGTGGGTGTGGGCGAGTAGACGCGGGACGGCGAGGACGAGCCGGGGCCACCCAAATCCGACGAAGAGGCAATCGACGAGGAGCCGTTGGAGCCACGACGACGCTGTAGCTCAACGTTCTGACCCGGCGCCGGAGTCGCGCCGATCCGCGTCAGGTGGCACTTCAGACACAGGAGGTGCGTGCGCCCAGGGCTGCCGTTTTCTGCGGTCTCGGTGTAGGGGTAGCACCGAGAGTTGGTCTCATCACTGAGAAGCAGGTCACAGTCCTAATTAGATGAAACAAAGCTTAACTAGAATCGTCTTTAATATGATTCGACGACAAGACCAGATCCAATGGTATAGCTCAGTAACGTGAACGCGCTCTAGTCAGCTCAATAAAACAGACGACAAAAACATTTGATACGCAGAACGTCCCACCGACTAAGTTTCATGTCAATTAAGCCTAGAAACTCCAAAAGTGCACAGAGAAGGGAATTCGACAATTAGACCAACCTCACAGCGATAGCATTCGACGTGGAACTCCTTGTTCATCGCTACAACGCGAATAACTTCCTCAGTGGGCTGAAACACAAGAAGAGGTAGGTTAGGGTGGGCTTTTGCATCTGCAGGAAATCACTTGGATGGCATTCAATTGTGTGGAATCAATGCTATGCAATGACCCCAAACAACCCCAAGATGACGATTCTCTTTGGGCTTTGAGAGTCATGACACGTCACCAACCAATCGAAAATCGACAACGCATCTGAACGGTGATTGGTTGAGGCATGAAAGGGTGAAAATGCTGCAAATAGCACCAAAAAATGCAACCAGATTATCAAACAGCGTCAGGCTACTTTAGGATCGAAATGTCGCTTCACGAGAACAGGCAGGATGGGATTCGCGCAGGCAGCACACGTCGGCGCGGTCACCAGGTAGTAGTCGAAGAGGCAGTAGACCTGGCCCGACTGGTCCACCGTGAAGGGCTCTCCGTCCATGCACTTGTTGCAGATGACGCAACGGAAGCAGCCCGGGTGATAGGACTTGCCCATCGCTTGCAGAATCTGCAAACACAACAAGTCAATATTTCTTTAACAAAACTCGATTTTAAAAAAAAAGATTTTAGAGCAAAATACGCGCGAATTCAAGTCTAAAATGTATAAATCCAGGCATTTATAGCCGCATTAATGATCGCGAGATTTCGCACCCGATTTTTAACGATTCCTCTCCACTCCACACAACTTATAACACATTCCATGCGTGTTGGCAACCCAGCTTATGCCTTATATTCTATCCTTTCACTACCAGTTTTCCAGAACTGGACGTGTGTGTGTGTGGCAAGAATGCTTTATCAAGCCCCTTATCAGCGGCACAATCGAGTCACATGTGAACGCAATTGGGAAGGAGAACAGACAAGCTTGGTGACAAGTTTT